AATTTCCTTTTAGTGTGCACAAATTTCATGCACCGGGACACTAATAACTTTTATAATAGGAACTACAAAAGAGAATGTTTGACTATCAAAGGTTGAAAAATAGCCCTGGTAAAACTGATAAATTCCTAAAATACTTTTTCAGTATATTCAAAAACTAAATAAAAGATGATCTATAATGTTGCCATATAATTTTGTTAGAAAAATTATAATATGGAATTATAATCTATACTTTTATTTTTTGTTCATTCTAAAACTCAGCCATTCTTTATGATTTTTGAGCTCTGTTTTTTCAAGATTATGTCCCAAATAAATTTTTTACAATAAACTTTTGGTCTCTATGTTAAATGGATTCATTTTATTGGCATTCACTGTGATTTATTATCTTTGGATAACCAGGATTTTCTATATTGCTAATATTTTATTGTATACTTCCCCAATTTTCTATATGAAAGCAGATGCATAAAATATACATAATGTATGTAAACTCTTTTCTCACTTAACATACTGTTTTGTTATCTTTTTTCCACTCATAGGATAATTTTCTTAGAAAATTAACGTTTCACTCTTTTCTTTTATCTGGTACTTAAACATACAGTGTTGGACCATACTGTAGGATGTCAATAAATAGCTGTTAATCAACTGAAGACATCTCTCTAGGCCACTCATTTCTATGCTCTGAAACATGCTCCAATCCACTGGGAAGAATACATTTCATCTCATTAACTCCATTTTGAAGTTTAGGTTATGATTGGGGTTTTTTGTTTTTAATTATCATACACATAATCATCAGCTTCCAGGATATAATTGCTTTTACCATTCAATCGTAAAAACAAGCAAACAAACAAAATAGTACAGTGATCATGATAGTCAACAATAATACAGTATTTTCAACCTTCTTTTATTATTTTATAAAAATTGCAATAGGTTTATCTTTCAGCTTAAGAAAGGCAAATAAGTCTGTTTCTAATAGAAGTTAAAAGTTTCTCTTTTTTTAGTTGCTTTGAAAACATCACCAAAAGATACAAACTATCTGTCACAATTAGAAACTAATGGTTACAGAGATGAAGATTCTTTATGAATTTGCACCTTATTTTCATGCTTCCCATCTTTGTCTTAGACTTAGTCTAGGGTTAAGGACCTTATTAGGAGCTCAAGAATTGCCAGTTTACTGACAGAAGGCACTACAGGTCAATTTCTACTTAATATAAACCCAATAAGCAGGAAGCATATTTAATTCAATCCTAGGACTAAGTTTGGACACATTCTTAAAGCTCTCCAAATGAATAATGATGACATCATTAAAAAATGCCCTCGGTGACCCCAGAAGGATGATTTACTTTCATTTTAGAAAGGAATAAAATCTGCTTACACTTGTTAATGAAGCTGAACTGGTACCTGGTTCTTCTAAATGTCCCATCATATCACACAACTCCATTTCACATGGAATGCTAGCTCACAAATCAGGTCAAATCACAGCATATGTCACATTAAAAAAAAAAAAATTGGCCCGGCCAGTGTGGCTAAGTGGTTGAGCATCCATCTATGAACCAGGTCACAATTCAATTCTCGGTGAGGGCACATGCCTGGATTTTGGGCTTGATCCCCAGTGTGGGGCATGCAGAAAGCAGCCGATCAATGATTCTCTCTCATCATTGATGTTTCTCTCTCTCTCTCTCCCTCTTCCTTCCTCTCTGAAATCAATAAAAATATATTGTTTAAAGAAAGAGACTGGAATTAAAAAGTTAGGATGCAAGAATTATTTTTCACAAATATCATTACCAAAAAAAAGGTGCTAATTTATTCATCAAGCATGTACTGACTGTTGGCTACCAGTACAGTTATGAACTAGGCACTACTAAATAATTTTTCAAGTAGAAAAATATAAAAGAGAATAAGAGAATGAGAAAGTGGGAGTGAGAATGAGAGTGAGTGAGAGAGAGAGAGAGAGGGAGAGAAAGAGCTTTTAAAAGTTAATTTTGGAGGCCATGCCTATCCAGGTTGATTATCATCTATACTAATAAAAGGGTAATATGCCAATTAACCATCACTCCACGACAAAATGGTGGCGCCCATAGCCACAAAGATGGCAGCGCCAGCTGGAGCCATGGAGCCGGCCGGAGTGGGCAAGATGCTTGGCTTCCTTTGTCGCCCCATCTGGGCGGCAGCCACGGAGCCGGCCAGAGTGGGTGGGAGGTGGCTCCAGCCCGGAGCGAAGGCCCAGGTCCCGGGTGCCGGAGGGAAGCCAGTGCCGGCAGCCAGGGAAAGGAAGGCCTATTCTTGCACAAATCTTCGTGCATTGGGCCTCTAGTAAATGCCTATAAAACTAAATGTATTATGTCTTTTATATCCTAAAGTGAAGGGGAGGAGGGAGAACCTGATAAAATAATGTATTAGATTTCCATTTTAAAAATTTACTTAAAATATATTTATTTTCTGTATTTTTGAGGTTTACATTCTACTCCAAGAAATTAAGGACACCAGATAAATCTTAGTTCCATCTTTTTTTTTTAAAAAAAAAACTCCTTTACTTCACTTCTTCCTCCAGTCCCTGCCTTCTTTCTCTCTCCTTCAGTCAAACTTCTTGAAAGAGTGGTCTATACTCACCATCCCCATTTCCTCACCTTCCATCACTCCTCAAATCAATGCAATATGGCTTCAGTCACTATGAAACTGCTCCTGCCAACGTCAACAATAATCTATATGTCAGTAAATGCAAGATATAACTCAAAGTCTTGATCTTGCTCAACCTCTCAGCAGTACATGCCACAGCTGACCACTCCCTCCTCCTAGAAACAGTCTTCCCTTCACCTCTGTGGCACTACACTGTCCTGATTTTCCATCTATCTATGTGGCCTTTTTTCCTGCTGGTTCCCTGAGATACCGAGATTCTGTGCGGCTAGGCTCAATGTCCATTAACCTCTATTCATACTCTACACACTTCTCAGGAGACCTTATCTTTTTCTGTGCCTTCAAATACCATTTTTATGCTGATGACTCACGAGTCTATATCATGTTTCCCAGATCTCCCTTATAGATTCTACACCTACATCTAACTTCCAATTGGACATCTCCCTTTGGACTCTTATGTCTCAAGAACTTGAAACTCAGTAGATCTAAAACTTAACTCATCATTTCCCTCTCATCCCCAGACCTATTCTTCCTCCTTCTCCAGGTTCTCCTAGCTATATAAACAGGGAATATTAGCCGAGTGTCAGGACCGCTCAGGAGGAGTTGTGCGCGCAGACGGGCAGGAGGGGACTGTGTGCCACCCTCACCCCAGCGGCCGCGGGGAGGCTGGGGCTGGGGGCGGGCCAGAGTGGAGACACAACACACGGAGAGGCTGGGGCTAGGGGCCGGCCGGAGTGGAGACGCAACACTCAGGAGCACCTGCTCCCACCCCAGCGGACACAACACAGTGGCTGGTGCTACGTGGGTCAGGCGCGGGTCCCAGCCCCCCACAGGATGCCTCCTCGCGCAATTTCAATCACGCGCTGGGCCTCTAGTTTTGTTAATAAATGGGATCACCATTCACCCAGCAGCCTATTTTAGAAAGCCAGACATCATCACTGATCCCTTCCTCTCCACTACCACTCAATCAATTGGAGTCTAGCACCTAAACATTTCTACAGTCTTCCACTTCTCTCCATCTCCAGGATCACCACCCAAATCTAAGCCACTATTCTCTCTCTCTCTCTTTTTTAATCCTCATCCGAGGAATGAGGATATTTTTTCATTGGTTTTTAGAGTGAAAGGAAGGGGAAAGGGAGAGGGAAGGAGGGAAGGAGGGAAGGAGGGAGGGAGACAGGGAGGGGAGAGAGAGAGAGGAATATCGACATGAGAGAGACACATCGATTGGTTGCCTCCTGCTCTGGGGAGGGGATTGAACTGGGTACGTGCCCTTGACTGAGAACTGAACCCACGACCCCTAGGTCTGAGGGTCCACACTCTAATCACTGAGCAAAACCGGCCATGGGAGCCATTAATATCTCTTGCCTGAATTATTTATTAAATATTCTCTATAAATGACTCCTGTTCCTTTTGATTCTACTCTCTATATTGCACACAGTGAGTTTTTTCAAATGCCAATCTGTCACATTTGGTTGTATAAAAATCTCTCACTACCTTCCTTAGAATAGAGTCCTGATAGGCCCTTCCTAATCTGGTTTATGCCTACAACCATCACCCTCAGATTTTAGTATGCCTTACTGAACTTAATTCCTTGAGCTCTATCTGGTTAATTCCTACCCATTCTTTGGGTTTCACTTAAATATCACTTACAAAGGGAGGCCTCTTCAACTAGGTTAGAACTCCCTTCTATATCCAATCATTTAAAAAAATATTTGTTTTTCACTTACTATGTGCTGGATTCTGAGCTTAAAAAAACACACGCACCTCACCTTTCCCCGGCGGGTATGGAACAATTTAGTGATATTTTATATTTTATAATCCTATATTTTGTATTTTATAATGTGGTAACACCCTGTTCTTCTCTTAGTTACTTAAATATCTTTTCCCCCCATCAGAACAAGTCAATGAGGCCTGGTGTTTACCACTTCATCTCCAATACTAAGCATAGTACCTGGCACATAGTTGCTACACAATAAGTACTTGAAAATTAAATAAAGGACTAAAAACTCAAATAAAATTCAACAGCTTTTCCCAAATAAGTTTTGAGTCTAAAAAGATAAAATCACAATTCATGAAAAAAGACTAATATGCACTTTACCTAGTTAGTCCATTAAATAAACAGAAAATTTAATTCTTGAAAAAATATGCATTCCATTAAATCACCAATGCTTCACTCTGAAAACCAGAAACTAAATGGAAGAATATCAAGCATTTATCCTGTCTTTCCTATACTAACTGTACAGTATTTCCAATCAAACAATCATGGTTCATGAGTGAAAGTATTTCTTTACAGAATTCCATTTAATAAATGCAGAAGAAATGGCATGAAAAAAAATCAGCACATTGTAACCTCTAATGAAGAAATAACTTACTCAGGCAAAGAACATCAATGGATGAACCACTAGATGGAAGGAACATGCAAAATTGATGGGAAGCTTTACAGTGGAGGGACCAGACTGCCGCCCCCTGATCAATCTTGGCACCACCAACAGTGGGACAACCAGGCAGTCTCCTAATGGGATGCAAATGAAGTACACAGCATTACCTAGGTTACAAAGTACACTTGCCAAAAGAAAGTTGAGCTTAAATCTAAAGTTGAGCTTCAGAGTTAACTTCTAGATTACAAAAAACATGGAAAAGAGAAGAACAAGTCAAATGACACCATGATACAACAGACAAATCCAGAATGAGGGACATTCTATGGGACAACCAACAGATTTTTCATCAAGTTCAATGGCATGGGATAGAAAAAGAGAATAGAAGAAATTGAGCTAAATCGGGTGTTCTCAACTGAGGGTGATTCTCCCCCCCCCCTCCCCGCCCCCCCGGGAATATTGGCAATGTCTGGAAACATTTCTGGTTATCACAACTAGGGGCTACTAATAGCATCTAGTAGGTAGAGACAGAGATGCTGCTAAACATCCTACAATGCACAGGACAGTCCCCCACAAAAAAGAATTATCCAAAATATCTATATTGGATCCTGATTTGAACAAACCAACCAAACATAATTGAATCTATTGGGGAATTTTAGCATGGATGATATCAAGGATTTATTTTTAATTCCATTAGTATGAGCAGACAGTAAGGGAAATCTGAATGGATCAGGTATTAGGTGATACAAAGAAACAGTTGTTAATTTTGTTAGGTGTTATAATGTGTTAATCTAAGAAAAGGCTTTTTGGAAAGATGTCTAAGAATATAAGGATGAAATCACATGAGATTTAAGATTTGATTTAAAATATTTTTGCAGGAACCATAAAAAAAGGCCTCGGTGAAGTAAACATGGCAAACTCTTGAATTGCTGAATCTGAGTGTTGGGTATATGGGGGGGAGGAATCATACCATTTTCACTTTTGTGTATAGTAGTCCCTTTTATCTGCAGGAAATACGCTCCAAGACCCCCAGTGGATGCCTAAACCGCAGGTAGTACTGAACTATATATGTACTGTTTTTCTCCTATACATACATACATATCTATGATAAAGTTTAATTTATAAATTAGGCACACTAAGAGACTGACAACAATAAAATAGAACAATTATAACAATATACTGTTATAATAAATGTGGTCTCTCTCAGCAAACTACCACAAATTTTTTCCTTCTTCACAATTTCAAAAATAAAAGATTCGTTCTTACCATAGATCTTAGCAACCTGATCATGTCATTTTTTTTCTTTTCGTATTAAGTCGAGAACTTTCACCTTTCCACTTGAAAGAAGCACTTGACAGCTTCTCTTTGGTATTTCCAAATTGCTAATATATTATTCTTGTGTTTGCATCCATTAAGTTAAATAGGATTACCTGAACACAAGTATGGCAATACTGCAACAGTTAATCTATTAACCAAGAGGGCTACTAATGGACAAATAGAGAAGTAGTTGATACAGGGTGGATATGCTGGACAAAGGGATAGTTCACTTCCATGAGGGACGGAACAGAATGGAGCAAGATTTCATCACGCTACTCAGAACAGCACAGTATATTGAGCATTTCTGGAATCTTCCATTTAATATGTTCGGAGTGAAGCAAAACTGTGGATGGGGTGGGGGGGAGAGGACTTCCGTATGTTTAAAATCTTTCACATGTTAAATGACATTTTCCAAAAACAGAATATAAATCAAAGAAAAATATGCCGAAGGATTAATTATCAGAGATTGGCACTGGCATGAAGAAAATATTTATCATCTAATAAACCCAAGTATCCTAAGTCTAGAACATGCAACTCTTGTATCTTACTCAACAAACCTTTGTGGAGAGCCTATAATTTGCAAGGTACTGTCCTAGGTGCTACAGGAGATAAAAAGATGAGTGAGATAGTCCCTGTCTGCAAGGGACTTACAATCTGAAGAACAGAACCAACTAAATGGCTGAGCTTAGACATGGCTTCATAGAGACCCTGATATTTAAGATGTGCCTTGAAAGCAATACAATTATAGGGGGGAAAGAGGATTGAGGAAGTTGGGATGAATTCTAGACAAAGGTAGGAGAGCCTAAACAGGCTTACAATGCCTGTTTTGATAATAGCCCATTCATTCTGCTCATCTCTAATAGCCTTCTTTCCAACTCCTTTCTTTATGGCTCTCACCAAAGAATTGGAGGCACTGCATATTCAATGCACTAAAAGAAGTTCACTATATACAAGGGTACAAAGGCAGAAAAGCAAAAGCAGTGCTCATGGTATTATATTATGGACAGGTTTGATCACCCTCCCCCCACCCCATAAAACAGTTCGTTTATCTCTCTAAAAGGCCAGAAAAACAGTCCAGTAGAGATGAAGATATAAATGTGATATTTTGAATTAACGCAGTGTTTGACAACAAAAGCACTGGAAAGTTCAGAGTGGGCTGGGGAAAGAGACAAATTCTGTCTCTATAATAGAGGAATCTGGGGGAAATAACCTGGTGGGATGGTACTCTAGCGTAAGCCGACAGAATCACTTACTCTACTGTTTTACCCCAGCACCTCAAGTGTTTTCTCCTTATGATGTGCCAACCCCATCTTGCTTACTTAAAACAACTTGTTTCTGGTCTTAATTTCTAATGCCAAACCACTATAATATTAAAATATCTCATCCCTATCTTTTGGAAATCTTTTTATATGTAAATCTGAGTTTGTAAATTAAAAGGATCTTTTGATTCATTAGGAAATCCAAGATAGATTAGTAAGTGCTAAAAGTCTATTTTAGGAAATCATAAGAAATAATTTATCCACTTCAGTTCTATCTCCTTTCTAAAGGGAAGAATTTATTCCTGCTATCCTATCTGTCTTTGACCGTTGTCTGGGAAGCATCACTTCACATAGAAGTTTTGAGGAATGGCTCTCTCATGAATGAACAGGCATCACACATTTTTTTTTTTTTACCTTGGCCAAATCCCAAGGCTGTTACTCTGGAGTGAACGATAACACCAATGCCATACAGCAAATTGGTCATGTCTTAGATCTTTAAGTGATGTGAGGAAAGTGTGTATGGGTCAATTCCTTACATGACCAATCGACTCCCCAAAGGGTCAAATGTGCAGCCTCCCCTACGTTTTGCACATATATCTATGAACATAATTAGGATGCTCCTGATAAGCACAAGATTTCAATCCTTCAATTGGCGAGACCTTTAAATTCAGGAAGCTGACAGCTTACCTGTGGCCCCTAAAATATTCTTTTAAAGAAGCTAACTGGCCATAAAGTGTATATGCATTTCAAGTGTCAGTTCTTTCAGAAGCTTCTTTTTTATGCCGCCTCTCAAATGGAAATTTTAGTTTAAAATACAATTTTAAAGCATTTTAAAATACAACTTTTAAGCAAAGTCCTTTGCCAAAGCAACAAAATCTCAGAAGTTGGTCCAAGGAAACCAAAGGAATACATCTAAGAAGTAACTTTTGAGCCACCCCACTGCTCTGTGGTGTCCAGAAACATTTTCAGTTTTGATAACCCACACTTAGGTCATTAAAAAGCGGTGAAGTCAGACCCCTGACTCCCCCGGAATCCTCTGGAGTGTCCGTTAGCTCGTCGCCGTGTTAGCATTAGGCGAAGGGCCGGTTAAAGCCCGGAGGCCTGCTCACTTAGGGCCCTCGAGGTGAGAAGAGGAGGCTCGGGCACGCGCTTTCTTACCTGTGGAGTCATCTTAGAAGGATCTGGCTCAGGGGCACCCTGATGCTGCTCAGCATTCTTGCTCTTGGCACCACTCTTCACAGGCTCTTGCGGGGCAGTTGTCTTATTCCCAGCAGCGGTGGCCGGCGGTGGAGGAGCTAGGAGCGGGGACTTAGAGTGGCTCTGGGAAGGGCGGGAAGGCGATGCCTGAGAAGGGGGCAGGTAGGACTGCGAATGGCTCACGTAGGATTGCGAGGAGGAAGAGGGAGGATAAGGAGTGGGCGCCAGGTAGGACTGGGAAGGTGGAGACTGAGAAGGGGACGGCTGGGCGGGAGGCAAGTAGGGGGGCTGAGACGAGGCGGGGGGGTAGTACGAGGGTGGCGGCTGAGGTGGGGGCATGTAAGACTGAGATGGGGGCATATAGGACCCTGGCGGCACAGGGGGGGACGCAGGGGGGGATTCCAGCTCCATGGGAACCAAACCAGGAGGCCCGTCTCGTTGGTGGTGCAGCATCTGGTGTTTGTACTGCT